TCAAAATAAACAACCACTCGTGAATTTTGGTAAAATTTTGTTAAATTATGATAGAACATTCTGAAATTTACTTACATGTAAGCAAACAGGATGACAAAAATCGGTTACCTTCACTGGAAGTCGTTGAAGATTTTTCTTCAGAATAGGAGGTTTCGGAGCAAGAAGATTTACTAGACGATGACTCTTCGTCACTTAAATATCCAGTTTCTTGGATTTCATCAGTGTGATCTGTTTGGACATAATGCGGTTATTACATATAACTTAACTTGAGTTTCGGCGTATTATGCATCTCAGTGCTGATTGACACATTGCAAATTTAAACAAAAGTAGAGCAATAGGATATTTAGTATCAAAATTCTAACTGTTGAAAAGCAAACGAGCTAGTTGTTAGTTGTTAAGGCAGTGTAACAGCAGTAGGCTCAATATCTAGCAGATCCTTAGGGTCTCATAATCGAATCGAGTCGAAGCAAAATAAAGGACTACCACGTAGTAAATCCGGTTAAGTGGCAAAGTAGGAGATTTTGACCTGGAAATTCAGAACCTCGCCGAAAAAAAACCTCCTTAACCATTCACGAACGCCACGCCCATGTACTGGAAAGTGTTCACTTACTAAGTCGTCTTAGTGCTTTCTCAGCACCAATGACAAGCCAATCGACTGTTGGGGGGAACTCTTGATCGTACCAATTCTCTTCAGAGAATCTACGCATTAATTTATAAGCTAGAAAGACTGCCCTTCCTGCAGCAGGGGAGTTGAAGAACAATTCAAACAGTTGTTGGTCAGTATATTTTGCTGCTATACGAACCAGTACGCGTAACACTTGGTTTGGTGGTGAGAATCCTAGAAAAAGTGATAAAGAGTTTGATATGTTTACCAAAAAAAAAACAAATTTGCAATGTTCAAAACATTTTAGAACTGAGGCTTTGATAGGAATTGGTTTGAATTCAGGAGTAACATTTGATCTTGTTGTCTTATCGTCAGGATGAGAGTAGTCCTGGGAAGGACTGTAGTCGGTTACAGTGTCTTGCGTTTCAACAACCTCAGCGAAAGGATATATCAGGGTCAATTGAGGAGTTTTTCATCGTCAGTCGGGTCCAGAGTTCTTGAAAACGAAACAGCCAGTTTTACAATGATGTTATTTGCTGGTGACTAAATTAAATATGAAAGTAGCTAAGTAATGGGCTTCATTTACAAGGACAACGCCTAGCAGTAACTACAATTAATTACAAACCTGTAGCCACCTTTTATGGTACAACAAGCCTTTGTTATATATGAGAAAAAATGCTCCAAATTCCTGGACAACCGATCCTAAAATGACAGCCATCTTTCTACAAAGACCTCTATCTTCTGCCCCTAAGATGGCCGTTACGAGGAGGTCAGACTGTTTTTTAAACTCGTCATGTTTTGGAAAAGAAAAAAACCTTCGAGCTCAAGAGTACACTCGCGATCTTAAAGTGTTCAAAATAGTTGCAAGAACGTACCTGCCGAAGGTTGCGATAAATCTTGTCCTCTCTTCGTTTTATCAACCATAAAATCAGCCCAATGACAGAAAAACTCACTTTGTAATTTTGGCTCTCTAACCAGTCGTAACAGTGTTTCCCTATCTCGATCGTAATAGTAGAAATCAGTCTTTCCGAGAATTCTTCCAGTCGAAGAGTGCACTGTAACAATTACTTTACCAGGCGCATCAGATGCTGAGACAAAATTAAAAAAAAAAACAGTTAGCAATAAATAACGTTAAATGCAGGAAACGAACACGAAAAAAGGAAGTATAAAACATTTTTCTAGTATTTAAGCCATAAAAAAACTTACCCGGAATTCGACCAATCAAATTAAAAGTATTAATTCTTTTCAAGCCAGCAACAGTCTTCATTCCGAAATCTGCCCTAGCAGACTCTACTTCTGGTGGAAGAGCCTGCCCAAAAACTAAGACAAATGACGATCCACCCTGAAAGAAACACATGCCACTGGTTAAATTTATCTTGGATAGCCAAGTTTTAGATGGGGAGTACGCTCCAGATGCTTTCTGGGACATACTTTTAATTTCAGTGGCAACCCCTTGAACGCAAGCACACAAAATCGAAAGATAATTACACGTTCGGAAAAGTATACATTCAAGTCAAGTTAAAGGATACATACGTTCAAGTATACATTCAAGTCAAGTTCAAGAAGGAGGTATACTACTGTAAAAAAAAAAAATTATTTACCTCAATGGGCCCATTATTTGGAACGATTCCCAACATATCTAAAAGCAAATAAAAGTTACTTGATTAAGTCGGTGTTAACAGGGTATTTCAATGGCCAACTCAAGTTTACAGACACTCTAATCGCTGTTAAATGGGTTTGCAAACTTATACAGTAGAACCTCCATCCAGGAGACAATCTCTGGACAAGAAAGTGCCCCTTGGAATAGAGGTGCTCCCTCAGTGAAGGAACAGCTTCAGTGGAACCTTTATTCAGGGGACTTATAAAAAAGTTTCTTCAAAAGCAGGGCCTTTCTTCAATGAAGATAAACTATTCAGTAAAACGTCCATTCAGGGGACAA